CCCCCCCCCCCCAATTAAAAGGAGCTAGTTTCGCCCCTCCCAGCAAAGGAACAGTTCTTTTCCATGACACAAGCACACTGACTCAAGCATGCACAAAGTAAAAGTAGGAGCTGCTATCAAAAATAACTGGCAAGCTAGTGTTGCAGTTCTACTTGTGAGAATGTAGATTTCAAAATCAAAATACTAGAACTTTCCCACTTCCGCTTTTGTGGTTTGTTGTCTCTTACTGAATTTCTGTTATTGTAGCGGTTAACAAATTATAGGGAAATACGACGACACAAGTTAAATTTCGAAACCTTTATGTGTTCATATGCAGTGAATCGAACGAATAATGCATCCTTTGTTACAATTATTCAATTTATTACAAAAATCAAAGAAAACTAAATTTTATCGCCATATTTCTCCATAATTCGGCAATCGCTACGTACAATATTAACTACAAAACAAAATAGTAAATGACAACAGACTACAAAATTAACCGGAAGTGCGAAGGTTGTAGTATTTTGACTGCAATTATGTACAAAAATATGTTGCATCCATGCAGCAAGAATTAATGTCCGTTTACAGGGTAAATTTCCATTTACAGGGACAGAAAAAGATTACGAGACGAGTTGAATAGAAAAGTTAAAGCACCGAACACTTTTTATATACAGCCAGAGATACTGACAGCTTTGAAATTTGCTACAACCACAGAAGACACAGAAAATTCCGCGCGTTTATACTTTAAAAAGATATTTAACAGTTGTGAAATTATTCATGCGAATAAGCCAAGAATGGTTAAGGTTGTATTTTGAATGTTTCTATGTTGTGAATTAGAACCTGGATAATAAACCAGCTTATTTAACTTTTTAATTATTACTAGTGTCGCTGATCAGCGAACAAGCGAATGTAAACAAACAGTTAAAAATAGACCCAATTTGGAGATTTATAACTTTTCAGAAAATTGCTTGCAGACGAGTTTTATTCCTGATTACTTAACTTTGGTAGGTATACTTTCAAATTACATGCCTTTTGAACTACAGATAGGTGCCACTTTTGAGCTTTTTTAAGTAAAATATGAGCAATTTTCAGCCTCTCGTCGCCATCTTGAAAACATAGTTTCGTAAAACTATAAAAAAATCGTATTAAGCAAATAAAGTTGTTCAATCTCCATGAAAACGAGAGTATTAGTGCTAATCTTGCATGCGAACAGTAACTGGAGGGGATAAACGCATCATAAAGTTTTTAAAAAATCAGATGAATTATTGTGAAATTCCCTTCATTTGAGGTCTGAAAATATTCTCGCAAGGTCAAATTTCAACATGGGCTATAACTCCTATAAAACAGAAAGTTGAAACGTTCTGAAAGAAGCTCGATTAATATTGACCAAAGTCTAGTTCATATGCAAAATATGAGCTAAATCTATTTTTCCTTCCCCAAACCAGTGGGTGGATTTTACTGAGAGACCCTCTTAATCTTTCAAGAAATACTTTATTTTCCATGAACAAACCAGTAAAAGACGACAAAAAACTTCTCACAATGCATATAATTTCAGCGGTCGAAGAATCAAAATGTTTGTGAAAGAAATGCGCCCGCCATATTTAGACAACGACAACAGAATTTCCAGCTGTTAGTGTACCCTAGTTCCAGAGGCTCTTTCTGAGGCGAAAGAAAAAAGAGGCGAGAACGGAGAGCTCCTGGTCACATCATAGCGTATCACCAGGGGATAGTAAGGCACTCTGGCTTATATGTTGAAAAAAGTCCCAAGTATCCAAAGAATAATTAATAATGACATTCTAAAAATTGTAAATACAGGGGGAAGTTGCCCCCTGACGCCCCCCCCCCCTGCTGTGTACGGCCCAGGGTCACATCGATTGCAAATCCTATACGTCCGCACTTGAATCTGAATCCCGCATGTGATTGGCCATTTGTAAAAATATGCCAAACCGGTTTGGGAAATAAACATTGCTGTAAGCTAATTATAACCTGTATTAAAATACTCTATTAAACTTAAACAAGCATGCATTATATGTCCTGCAAAACTGATTAATATTAATATGTTTATCTCCTGAGAAATTTGATACCTTTTTCACCTGTAGGAGTATTAATATTTATGCCTGGGTGAGTTTAATAGAATATTTTAATACAGGCTATAATTAGCTCACAGTAGTGTTTTTTTCCCAAACAGATTTGACATATTTTTACAAATGGCTAATCACCTGAAATGTTCAAATTCTGAACCTAGTCAATTGTGGACGAGGGATTTGCAATCGATGTGACCAGAGGCTCGCCGTTCTCGCCTCTTGTTTCTGTCACCTTGCAAAGAGCCTCTAGAACCAGGGTACACTTAAAAATAACACAAATGCAGAACAATTGGTGCAATTTAACTAAGTACCAGTCAATATAAGTCCCTGCCTGCTCGAATCTAGGAATTGCGGGGTTCATGGTGCAAAGCAGGATCACCGAGACAAAACCAGATATTTATACAATCCAGCAATTAGTTTTGATTATGCAGAGCTGAGAAGTGGGAACTGGCAACTTCTGGGTTGGGGGAGGTGGTAATTTATATTGACTGCTATAGTACACTAAATAGTTATGGGGTGCCATGGATCAAATGAACAGCTGCCACTCCTGCCAGTTCTGTTCTCTTTAAAAGGACTGCTAATTCTAAACTGCAGTGATTCAAACATTATCCAAACATGTTCAAGAGATTATGAGTACTATTTTTAATTTGCTACACACTCATATTTGGAACAATTTCCAAGGACGCAGCGACTGAAAATGCATCAAGATCTGTAAATATAAAATATATATCTTACTTTAAATCTCTTCTCCATCATAGAAAATGCGATTTGCCTGCACAGCAAAATCCTAAATTCTAGATAAGAAAAAAATACTTATTTCAAGCAATATATTGCTTGAAATAAGAATTCAAGTGCATTTTTTCTTCGCAAGAATAATACTTATTTAAAACAAGAGTGAACCTATACTTACCAAGTGTAACTTTTCGATGACATGCAACATTATCCGTCATTAAATATACATAATTCAATGCTAGAAGTCTATCCGCTAAACAAGAAACTCTTTTATGCATCCGACTTTGAACAGTCGAATATTGGAAGACGTGAAGCAAAACAGCCTAAAAAATATAAAATTGTGGCCTGAATGTCAAAAATTATTGAAACGTTTTGAACATCTGCAGATGAACATAGCATCGCAGAAACAACTTTTATCAAGGGAAACAAAATTGGCACCGCTGTGTCTGGATTCTGCTTGATATCTGTATATAAATACTGTTGACAAGTAGAAATATTTTCTTGTTTACATTATACGCAACTCAACCTCAACGATTGTACATATTTAACAAACTACAGGTAATGATCGTTTAATTGCACATTCATACCCAAACTAAACGCTTTGACTAAAACGTTCCTTTTTATATAAAATGCTTACGCCGTTCTTTAATGCTACAGGAATACTCGAAAAGTATCTTTATTTGGGTTTGCCAATTCTCGTTCAAAATACAATGGCAGTGCAGTGCCAAAAGTGCGGTTTTAATAAATGCTTATTCACGGTAGACAATGGTGTTCAATTGTATCGATGTGTTCAAAATAAGTCTTGGGATTTTTAGATTGATAATCATCAATTGATTTCAAACGAAACATTTTACACGCATGTGGATTCCGCCACTACCCGAACTTGTATAGCGGAATGCAAGAAACAGGCTTGAAATCTCAAACTAAGTATGAATACTTGCTAATATACATATATATCGCAATAAGTGATCCTTATAATTTATTACGTCGCCAACTATATGCCATCCGTTGTACCAAGTCATAAAGAATTAAAACTCTAATGACCCAACCGGTCATTTATCTCAAGCATGTATTCTACCCCCTCTACAAGTACCGGAAGTTGCCCCAATAATGCTTCTAATTTAAATGCATCTAAATTAAACAACAAAACTGTTGAATATAATTTGTCAGAAGACCATGCAGTCTCCTACATTTAATGCAAAACATACAAAAATGTGACTGTTGTTGTTGGTGATTCAATGGTGAAAAATCTACAAGGCTGGCGCCTGTCTACTGAAAAAAACCATGTTGTTGTTAAAGGCTTCGTTGGTGCGACGACTTCTGATATGGAAGATTATGTGAAACCAGTTATCCGCAAAGAGCCTCAAAAATTAATCTTACTCGTAGGTACTAACGTTCTTAAGAAAACAACTCCTAATCGGGTAGCTGAGGGAATTGCGAACATTGCAACTCGAATACAGGAAGATTCTCCAGGAACTGAAATAGTCCTATCAAGTTTATTACCTAGATCGGACAAGCCAGAACTATCAGCTAAAGTTAGCGAAACAAATAAGATAATTACCGCTATTTGCTGTAAGAGTAAGTGGAAATTTATTGACCAGAAACTGATTAACGCTACTTGTCTCAACTCAAGAGGCCTACATTTCAACCGCAAAGGGACAGCTTAATTAGCTAAAAATATATCTCGTTATATCAAGTCAAGCTAGGAATTTGCCGAGAGGGAGTCGGTTTGAACAGTAGCTGCTCACCCTACAATGTTTAATTCTAATACCAAATCTATACCTGAACTTTGTAGTCGTTGGTTGTCTATTGCATGCCTAAATATTAACAGTCTTGTTGCACATATAGATCAGCTACGTATATATATATATATATATATATATATATATATATATATATATATATATATATATATATATATATATATATATATATATATATATATATATATATATATATATATATATAAGTATATATATATATATATATATATATATAGTATATATATATAGTATATATATATAGTATAATATATATATATATATATATATATATATATATATATATATATATATATATATATATATATATATATATATATATACTGTAAATTTCAAGGAGTCTAATGAACTCCAAAAGTGTTATTCTGTAATCGTTTTAGACCGTTTTTTGTTACAGAATAAAACTTTTTGAGTTGATTCAACTCCTTGAAATATAGTGTATATATATATATATATATATATATATATATATATATATATATATATATATATATATATATATATATATATATATATATATATATATAAATAACTACAGACGGTACCATTTCGGCCTTTTGGGCCTCATCAGTGTAGTGCTGATGAGCATATATCTAACTAAAGACGGTACCGTTTCGGCCTAATGGGCCTCATCAGTGTAGTGCTGATGAGCAGGATGAAAGTAACTGCTATTTACAGTTACTTTTGATGCCTCACGAATGTGGGACATCAAAACCATACCAGAGTGCTTAAACTGCAAGCAGTGAGCGCGCGCAATGCGCAAGCGGCATGGCTCATCCTGTTGAGCGATATCTAACTACAGACGGTACCGTTTCGGCCTTAAGGGCCTCATCAGTGTAGTGCTGATGAGCAGGATGAAAGTAACTGCTATTTACAGTTACCTTTGATGCCTCACGAATGTGGGACATCAAAACCATGCCAGAGCGCTCAAACTGTAAGCAGTGATCGTGCGCAATGCGTAAGCGGCATGGCTCATCCTGTAGAGCGCTCAATATTACCTAAGGGCCATAGGGCGATATCTAACTACAGACAGTACCGTTTCGGCCTTATGGGCCTCATCAGTGTACTGTTGATGAGCAGGATGAAAGTAACTGCTATTTACAGTTACCTTTGATGCCTCACGAATGTGGGACATCAAAACCATGCCAGAGCGCTCAAACTGCAAGCAGTGAGCGTGCGCAATGCGTAAGCGGCATGGCTCATCCTGTAGAGCGCTCAATATGACCTAAGGGCCATAGAGCGATATCTATATCTATATATGTATATATATATATATATATATATATATATATATATATATATATACATATATATATATATATATATATATATATATATATATATAATTCAATGCTAGAAGATAAAAAAGAGTCTATCCGCTAGACAAGAAACTTTTTTATACATCTGACTTTGAACGGTCGTATATTGGAAGACGTGATGCAGAACAGCCTAAACAATATAAAATTGTGGTCTGAATGTCAAAAAATTATTGAAACGTTTTGAACATCTGTAAATGAACATAGCATCGCAGAAACAACTTTTATCAAGGGAGACAAAATTGGCACCGTTGTGTCTGGATTCTGTTTGATATCTGAATAAGTACTGTTAACATGTAGAAATATTTTTTTGTTTACATTATACGCAACTCAACCTCAATGTTTGTACATATTTAACAAATTGCAGGTAATGATCGTTTAATTAAACATTCATACCCAAACTAAACGCTTTGACTAAAACGTTCCGATCCTTTTTATATAAAATGCTTATGCCGTTCTTTAATACTACAGGAATACTGGAAAAGTATCTTTATTTGGGTTTGCCAATTCTCGTTCAAAATACAATGGCAGTGCAGTGCCCAAAGTGCGGTTTTAATATGGGATTTTTAGATTGATATTGATTTCAAACGTAACATTTTGCACGCATGTGGATTCCGTCACTGCCCGAACTTGTAGCGGAATGCCAGACAGAAACAAGCTTGAAATCTCAAACTAAGTATGAATACTTGCTAATATAAATATATATCGCAATAAGTGATCCTTATAATTTATTACGTCGCCAAATATGCCATCCATTGTATACCAAGTCATAAAGGGTCTTAATTTGCTAGCAATGTATTTCGGCACCCGACTGCGAAAGGTATTTATTCAAATCTTCGCTCCAATAAGAAAGAAAAAACGATACTGCTCTCAGACCTTTTACACGTTTGGCTAAAATTATTGCCGTCGCATAGTTATAAATGGTGTTTGTGTTAAATATCGAATTTCGGTCAAAGAACGCTAATCAAAACTCAAGACTGAATTTGTGAATGGAAAGCCTGTATAATTACTGTAGCTGAAATAAGAGAAAGCACCTTTGTTATGGTAAATTTCATCGTATTGCGGCAGACTAAAAGACACTCTATAATAGTTATTCAATACTTTAAGCGATATTAATCAAGTTTCACAGAAAATTGTTATCATAACACAAACGCATTGCCTCAAACGCCATTGCCGCAAGAAATATTGCTTGCGGATTCCGTCACTGCCCGCGCTTGTAGAATGCAAGAAACGAGCTTGAAATCTCAAACTATATATAAATACTTGCTATATATAGCTATGAGCGATTCTAATATTTTATTAAGTCGCACATATATGATATCCGTTGCATGAAATCATGACAGAAATTAATTTTCCAGCAACGTTTTTCGGCATTCGCCTGCAAAAGGTATCCATTCAAACCTTCACTAAAAAAGGAGAGAATAATCGATACTCCTCTCGCATCATTTACAAGCCGAAAAACCTTGCGGTCGCATGGTTATACATGGTATGTATCTCAAGTATCGAATTTTTGGTCGATGAACGCTCGAAATCAAAACTGAAGGATTTGTGCATGACTCGAAAGCAATATAATAACAGCAGCTGAAATAAGACAAAGCTGTCGTTATATAAATTTCATCGTATTCCGGCAGAGTAAAAGACCCTCTACAACAGTTCTTATGAGGGGCGGATCCAGTTCCTAAGCTGACTGATGCCTAAGACCTCGCATTTGTAGGGGGGTCCGGGGCCGCGGGAAATTTTGAAATCTAGGACCTCGGAAATGCGATTTCCTGCGTTCAGAGCCAGCACTTTTGTTCCAATTCATATATTAGTGTCACAAAATTATTTGCTGCATTTTTGGAAAGCACGTAAAAAACTTGAACCTATATCGCAAAAACAACATAATTTCTCATATAAGAAAAAAATATTTGCTTGTACAAGTGTTATAGCAGCAGTGGTACATAACTCTCTATTAAAAAAATAGTCAGTACTGTGCTTCTTGTAGCCTTAACTTTGCTATTGAAAAACATTTCGGCAAAAAATCACGACAGCAAAAATACACAGTGTCACATACATGTAATAAAGGTGTATACAGTGTGATCCACTAGTTGCATTGCTGGATTCAGAAGGGAGTGTTATTATGTTGTTTTTAACCACTTTCCCTTATTAATATCCACTAATTTCATCAATGTTCCATGAGTAAAATCTTCTAGCAATAGAATGGTGCATATAAAGGTATTTTGTGCTTTAGTGGGTAAACTTATTATATACAACTCTGTCTTATGCTGCTAATCCTACTCTGCATGGACAGTGTGGTTGGCATCAGTTGGTCAATTTAATTCGCCCCTAGCTGCCTTTGACATGAACTGCATGGTGAATACCCCCACTCTGAATACTGAGAATATTGCCCTGTGACCAGAAAACCAGTAAACTAACACACAACAAGCACTGGGTTTAAAATTCTATAAGTATAACTAGGTACACACGACCACAAATTTAACTAATCAATAGAGACTGTGTGTAAATTGATTTAATGAACTATCTTAGTTGGAAATTGTTTTTTCAAATGAACCTGCCAAACTGTACAACATGGCGAGAAATATTGGTCACGCACGCGCAGTAAATACACAGACTTGGAAAACATTTGAAACAAAATGGGCACGCAAAACTATAGGAGTTTGAATGGGGTAAAGAACAAGTATGGCCTTACCTCAAAACTCTTTTGAAAATGTTTCTCATTTCCAACTGATTTTGTTTTAAGACGTAAAACCCGATATTTTGATATAATAGATAGTATTCAGACGTTCATATCTCTTGCGGTTTTTCACAAAATAGCCAACAGCGTGTGAACATAGGGAAATGTAGTTATTGACGTCGAATTCTCGATTTTGGCTATCGTTCATCTAAGGTATACGCGAGATCAGCCAACAATATGCAAACGTTTCCAACGGTTTTCAAAACTTCAAGCGATGATCTTGAACACTCATCAGTGCAAAAACATGAAGAATATATACTTCTTGCGGTTTTGCCCTTCAAAATCAGCATGTTTTGTGCTTATATTTTATCAAAATCAGCCGTTTTCCATCAAAAACACTTCGAGAACGAACTGAAGTTGTTTTTAATCGTCCATCTTTGCTAAGCGACCAAGCCTTGGCTTGTTGCCATGGTTTCAAACATTTTCGAATATTTTTTCGCAATTTTGGTCATTTTCAGTGCCAATATCAGCTTTTTTTCTTTTTTTTTATGTTGTTGTATTCGAACTTAGGCATTGCTCGATTCTCTCGACAATTAAACGATCTATGGCAAAATAATTTTCTCCGTATTCATTCTTTCTCCTTTTCTTTTGGTTAGAAACAGCGTAATAATCAGCCGTCGTAAGATTGTCCAACTCTTTACAAAACGAGATAGTGGTCATTTTGCTGCACGCGCGCAAGAATTTTACCATCTGGGATCTGGGTACAAGAATTTCGACCATGTCCAATATTTCTCGCCATGTGATAAACAATATATCATGACATAATTGAATCATGTCTTCTATCTGTCCCCTTTTACCTGCATTTCTACTAATATTAATATAGTATTCTTTTAAGATGTTGTCAATGTAGAAAGGCTGCACAGTAGTATTGATGAATATTTTCCCTGGATTATTATATAAATGCACATCTTTGTCAAATATATCCATATACTTATCAATGGTAATCCTCAGGGTGCCATGCTGGCTATCCAAAACATAGTATTGGAACAATTAGCACTACAAATATATAATTCAATTAAATATATTTTCCAAACTATCCCACTTTTGTGAGCAAATTTCATAATTATAACCTATATACACCAGTTACAGTTATATACACTATTTATACCGTCCATCATTTTATCATTCTAAGATTAAAACCTGTCAGGAGAATGACATATACTATATTTGCACAGAGAAAGCATATATACTCAACTATGGTAGGCGAGCAAGCCCAGGTAATTAACTTTGTTTGCAAAATATCCAGTGTACAGTAATTGCCCAATAACTCAGGCAATGCAAAGCAATTAACTCTTGTCATGAGGCATGCCAGCTTATTTCCATATAAAATGAAATGTAATAGAATACTGTAATAGGAACCAATTACCTTTCAATGTAAACTCTCCCTTAGTCTTCTAACCAATATTGCATCACTATTAGAAATCTCATTCATTAACCTGCAGTATTATTATGCACTGTAATTACATACAGAGCCTGGTGCAAGTCTTGACCCACACCATAGTTTTATTTTTAGTACCGGTATCCAATCAAAATGTACCAGGAGAAATGTCAATTTCACATAATTTAACAAAAAGCTAAATATATAGTTACAATCCTGATCACTAAATCTTATCTATAATTATTTAATTATATATAGCATTAACCAAAATATTAAAAAAAAAATACATTAAATATGGCATGAATACTCATGCTAGAAATAGTCGATCAGAGTTGCAACCATAAAGGCAGTTGTAGCTAGGACACAAACATTTAATAACATGTGTATCAGGTCTTCATTTTTCTTTGCCCACCAGCTGTGAGAAAAATGAAGTTCTGGGCACAGGTTATAATCCCATGTAAACAGAGATGAAATTTGGCTCAGTAAGGCAAGCTGTCAAGTTTGGTATTGGGGTTAGTTTGCCTCCAGACAAGCAAACCTCTGTAAAGACTGTAAAATGTCAAACTACATACCTCTGCTGGTATAAGCAACAGTATTAAATAGACACAAACTGTAATTGTTGTGTTAATACATACAAATCTGCATTAAATGTGGAGCCCAATGGAAACTTTAATATACACTTCTTGAACTGAACAATGAACTACAATGTAAAATATAGATAAATTCCACTTACTTTCATAGAGCCCTCAGTTCGAGTTTCACACAATGGGCATCTCACAGTATAAATTAATAAATATACTTCAATTCTTGTACTCAGTTGAAAGATTAGATTCATTCCAAGCCTTGGTAATTAATTGATTGTAAATTACTTGTTCTCCGTTTTCTCCGTCAATTTCGAGGGATATTTCTTCGCATTATTTGTCTCATTTGCATATAATGTTTGCATATCCTTGCCGGCATGACTTGAATCGAATGCCTCGTTGCGTCACAGTAGATTTTGATTTTGCAATTTGCATCAGTGAACCGATGCGAGCGCCCGCAATCTGCATGCGATGCATCGCTCAGCGGACAAATCTACCGTGACGTAGGGCCGTAAAACCATAGATTTGATGATGTCACAGTAGATTTCACGCGGAAAAGGACTAGGGACCGATGCATTCACTGATGCAAAATGGCTGAAAATCGATGCAAACCAAATCTACCGTGGCGTAGGTGATGCTTCAGCTTTCTACTGTGACGTCAAAGGATGTGTTAAAAAATAACATATTTTGTCGCGAAATTATTGACGCTTAAGTGTCGCAAAATAAAAAGTAAATAACAGAAAGTACACATTTGCGATCGCACGTCGCATATTGGACTTATTCTGACAATTTCGACTGTTATTGAGACTATTTAAATTGGATTTCATCCTAAATAGTGTATTCCTGACATGGAGTCAAGTTTAAGCAACTATTTGCGGTTTGATAGCTGGAGAGATTCAAAGATATTCTATTATCGAGTGCTTGACCAAGTATTGATGACAGCATAATATGTCTATATATATATATTATTTCAAGCAACATGATTTCTCAATTTTGACCGATGCATTCGCATCGTTGGCATCGGTCTGGATCCGCCACTGGTTCTTATATACTTTAAGCGACATTAATTAAGTTTCACAGAAAATTGTTATCATAAGATAATGGCACTTCCATAGCCTTTATCTTGCCCTGAATTCTTCGTTAGTTTTAGCAAAATCGTATATATAAGCACATCATTTTGTTTCAATGTCGTTTTTGCAATTTGCAATATGTTTTAAAACTCGAATATATTCCCTAATGTTAAAATCTCCTTACTGTAGAACATCCACTTTCCAAGGATCGTTCTTTAACCGAATAGTTAAAACTTGAATAATGTTGGAAAAATAGCCTCTCCTGAAAAGTTCGCCAGTTTAACAATTTTTAAAAGCTTTCTGCATGTGACATATACATCGCATTGCTCAACAGTACTTTTAATGTTGATATGGCATGCACTTGGTCGCTCACAAGAGACTGCCCCTGCCACCGTTCTTAATATGCATGTTATGTAAAATATATTTGTATATAGTGAATTAGGTTGGGTTTTTTTCTTCTTCTTTTTTTGGAGGGGGTGCGCCTAGCATGGGTCTCGTTGTCCCGTTTGCGCTATCCCCTTTGGACTTAAACTTGTAAATGTTTCTACTATATTTGTCCAATAAAGCTGATAAATAAATAAATGAATAAAATAAACTTCATCACCTTAACGCGACGCAAATTATGCAGTTTATCTAATGTCACTCAAAGCCTGTCAATCTAGTTGCGCTTACGCAAGTTTAACTAATGGTCGAGGGTAATAGGTCGAGGGCGAGGGTAGAATATCGAGGGTCAAAAAAAATGTCGAGGGTCGAAAAAATTGTCCAGGGTCAATTTTTTGACTCTATAATTTGTTCGCAAATTTTTAGTAACAGAATCAAATACTTACCATTACACATACTGTACGTATCACAATTAACTTGCTTTAGCCCAACGTCAATGTTTTAGCCCTATTATGGAATTTGCCACGGCGCAGAGTAAACAAACAGATATGTTTTATACGGCGATGTATACAAACGAATAAACCCTATTTTGATCATTATGAATTTAACTGATCAAATTTCGATCGCTGCAGTCAAAAGGCGCCGCTTCACATGCCATTTGATAAACATAACCCTTTGCTACCTTTGTGCACTCATGATTTCAGCAATCATTACGATCCACAAAAGCGATATATAGTACTGTGGCTGTTTCCCGCATGATCTAGAAACCCTCCACTAAACACTATAATGTCGTATAAAATAATTTGTAAAGTGATTTTCTAACTATCAGTACTTTCTGCATCGTGGCAAACGTTGACAGACGGCCAATTGTATTATGTGCATGCCTACGGCAGCAAACATTTTTCGCACTGATTATTTTCCGCTCATGTTGTAATTTCTTGCGCCTATGGCTCCTATCGTCTGCGCGAATTTGATTACTGCGCGAATTTGAATACAAGTATTATTCCATGCATGGCTGGGGAATATAAAACCGGGGAATATTTCAACATTAATTTTATATAGTGATATTTTCCTGGGTTAGTTATGCCTCTTCGGCGCAACAAATTCGCCGCAAAATGAAAAATAACACTGGCATGTCGAAGTGTCACCCCGGATGTGGGATTTGCTTGCAGTTCTGGATGAAAACTTGCGAGAAATTGTCATTCGGACCTTACTTGCGATTAAACTATGGTTAACGCACACACGTGCAGACGAGCTAGCTTTCTCTTAAAAACGTCTTCAGTTGCCGCATTGCTGTAGGGTATAAAACTTGCGTGAAATGGAAGTACTTCAGAGCACAATAGAAGAGGCTGGACTAAAGATTTCGTATAATCCTCCCGGCGATGGGCTTTTTTTTTATTCGGCTGCTGGCTTTCAGCTGGGGTTGTCTTCTAGAAGTAGGACTGTGCAGAATATAGTGTTTGAGTACTTGGAGAGTAACCGTTATGATGTAAGTATACCAATTTTCTTTGATCCTAAGATTCAGTTTGATGATGTGATACAAATGTGACTGTAAGTCTCGCTGTTAACTCAGGAAGCCCAAGTTGCATATATATTTCAGATGAGTTGTAAAATCATCTGTGCGAAAAAGGTTTGCTGCCGTAGGCATGCACATAAGACAATTGGCCGTCTGTCAACGTTTGCAACGGTGCAGAAAATAATGATAGTTAGAAAATCACTTTACAAATTAATTTATACGACATTAGTGTTTAGTGGTGGGTTTCTAGATCATGCGGAAAACATAGCCACAGTACTATATATCGCTTTTGTGGATCGTAATAATTGCTGACATCACGAGTGCACAAAGGTTGCAAATGGTTCTGTTTATCAAATGGCATGTGCAGGGGCGACGCTACAGGTGTGTGTGGGTGGAGGGGGGGGGGATGGAACACCCCCCGCTCGTCAGGGAATCGGCAAATTGTTATCTCAGTCGGCAAAACTGGATTGGCTAAAGATAACAACTGAAGAAACCAAAATTGAGATTCTGAATAATTGAAACCCATAAACCCATAAACTTTATTACATATCCCTCCCTCGAAAGGGTTTTTCAGTGATACAATACAATACAATAAATTATTTAAATATAGTACAAATATTCTAAAAATATATTTACAATCAATTAAAAACTAGTTATATAAATGTAATTTAAGAAGTCAGAAAGTGTTTGTGAAGTTTATGTTTAAAAGACTTCAATGACTGTTCGGATTTAATCTCCGGCGGTAGCGAGTTCCACAATTTTGCCCCTCTGAAACTAAACGTTCGCTGTCCCGTAACAAGGCGACAAAGTGGCAAGTGTAAGTCATTAACATTCCTCGTGACTCTGGAATGCACCTCGGAATTTCTTTTAAATTTTTCTGACAGATAATATGGAGTCAGATGGTGTAGCGATTTAAAAACAAGCACTGCATCTCGGAGATACAATTGGTCTGTAATATTCAGCCATTTGAGTTCTTTCAGGGCAGGAGAAACATGATCATATTTCCGTAAACCAACAACAATACGAGCAGCAAAGTTTTGTACAAGTTGCAACTTTTTTACATTTTCTTTAGAAGTGTTGCTCCATACGGAAGAACAGTAGAATAATCTACTAAAAACTAAAGAGCGTATAACAAGTAAAAGGGTCTTTCGATCTAAAAGGTGTTTGACGCAGTGGCGTAACTACTATGGGCTCAGACCGGGAGAACCCGGGGGCCCCCAACCCAAATGGGGGCCCCCAGGCTTAGGCGATAGAGCAAAAACATTGGCCAGGGCCTCTGATATGTTACAATGTCGTTTTATAACCATCAGAATTCTGTAAAATCTCTTTCCAAAGTCCAGGAAATGGCATTTCAGAGAGTCTAGATTCAAAAATTTTTCGGATGAGCATTCCCTGGACCCCCTAGAAAACTTGTGCATATACAGCGCTCGACTCGTGCCTTTGGCAATTCTACTGGGGGGCCTTCGAAAATTTTTGAACCGGGGGCCCCCTGATATAACGTTACGCCACTGGTTTGACGCGATTTATTTGGAATAATGAGTACATGCACGAAGATACTGTTTTATCAACATGATGTGTATACGAAAGACATGAATCCAAGTGAACGCCAAGATCTTTAGCAACACGAGTAGGTTCGATTTGTTTGGACAGAAGTTTAATGGAGAAACCTGGTAGCTGTTGTAGGCGCTGACGAGTACCAAAGGCGAGAACTTTAGTTTTCTCAGGGTTGATTAGGAGGGAGTTGCCACAGCACCAAGAACATAACTGGTCAAGATCTTTGTTGATTTGGTTTATAGCTGAAACCAGGTCATGTAAAACAAAACTAACGTAAAGCTTGCTATCGTCAACATAACACTCCGGCTTACAGTTAACAACTGACGATGGTAGGTCGTTGACATACACAGTGAACATCAAAGGTCCCAAAATAGATCCTTGGGGTACTCCGTGAGATAGTGGGAGTCGTTGCGATAGAAACTCTCCCAAACGTACTTTTTGAGATCTATTTGTCAAGTAGCTGGAAAACCATTTCAAAGCACTTGGAGCCATTCCAATATTCCATAATTTATTTAATAGAGTTTCAAACCGAATATCACGAATAGCATGCATCAAAGAAACCACACATGCAGCAATACAAATTCTTTCGAATTGAGTATCTTCACTTCTTTCAGTCCAAAAATAATAAAACATAATATTATTGAAATCATAATTCGGCAATTAAATTTGTTTATTTGTTGTTGTTGCTTATTATTCTGTTCTATAAAAGAGGCAATAAAGTCGGTTTTCCACTGGCGAATTTTCTCGCATGAAGCAACTTTTTTCCTTTGTCGGTATCATTTATTACGTCAGCAAGACGTGACAAAATCAGTCGTCGAAAACGTCGAGGTCGGCATTCGACAATGCCGACGTAAGGGACTGGTCATAAAGTAACTGCTAGGGTGGGCTGGAGGTAAATCACAAATTTTGCCAATAAGTTTGGTGACCCATCCAGTAGGATGTAGATAAAAATTTCAAGGCACTCTTTTCTCACAAAAACTTTTTCATGACCCACCCAATCTAAATTGGGAAAATACATTTTTATAATAAAAAAAAACTTGCAGGTATGAATATTGTAAATATACACCGGCACTGTATTGACATGCATAATTCCACCAAGCTAGACCAACACATTCATCATGATCACAAATTACGATACTGAGCTGCTCTCCAGTTGGTTGTCTTTGCTTTGATTCGACCACTTCTTGTTGTTGTATAAACAAAATACGGGCTTCAGTAGCATCATTTGCATTTAATAATTTGGATTGTTTTGTTTACTTTTATCATTAATATCTTTATTTTTTGAAGTAGACATGAATGGGTTTTGTTTGGTGGCCCATCCGTGGACATACATAAAATTTGGCGGCCCATTGAAACTGCCCAAAGATTTTCATGGCCCATCCCAAATCACTCCAGCCCACCCTAGCAGTTACTTTATGACCGGTCCCTACATGCCGAGTTATCTTTTGGTGCTGACAGCTGTTAAAAAGTCAGCGACGTAGTTCGATTAACTGAACACACTACGGTGTAAGGTTTAAAATTTGACGGGTATTGTGCTTATACGTTAGGTGTCTGAAGATGAAATTTCGCGCGTCTGGAGTTAAAATTTGGCTTCAACTTTCGGATTTTCCGGCTGGAGGTAACGTTCCAGTTATATATTCCGATTTCAATTATTCGTAAATGTGTGATTAATAGTGCTCCAAGAAGTGAAACAGATTTTAAGAAATGCCGAGACGTGCCGACCTAGGACGTGCCGACCTCAATTTTGACGGTTTTTGAGGGCGGCAAAATGGATGCCGACAAAGGAAAAAGCTCACTTCGAGCGGAGAAATTAGCTAGTGGAAAACCGGCTTAATAGAGGGTAATAAAGCGCATTTAAACATGCACATTTACTATAGGTTAATGACTTTAATCTTTAATCTTTAATAAAATTATTTAAACACGGTAGCCTGTTCAGCAGATAATATTTACAGCGCTGGTTTTCAAAGGGCCGTATGTTTACAACAATAATATAAAAAGGACAAAAAGAATATAACTATTTACAATGAATTGATACGGATGAATTAAGTAATTGCCGTTTAAACGACAAAATTGAAAGATTGTTATAATTTTCAATAGTTTCACTTGGAAGTTCGTTCCAGGACTTAGCAGCTCTATACGAGAAACTTCGTTTGAGAAAATTTGTCTTAGGTTTGGGCAGGTTCAATTTAATTTGATTGCTTCTTAGATTGTAATTGTCATTTTGACTTACTGAAAACAATTTTTCAAGGTATCGAGGTAATCGACCAGTTAGTACTTTAAATGTCATTATTAACTGTCGTTGTTTTAGAAGTTCTTCTATTGGAAGCCAATTAAGACTATCTAGCGTTTGCATGGAACGAACCTCGTATGTGTCCCCTGTTATCACACGCGCTGCTCTCTTCTGCAGTATAAACAATTTATCAATTATCGAACAACATTCATCATTCCAGATTGTTGAACAATAATTGAAATGAGGCCACACTAAGGCATTGTAGATTTTTATCAGACTATCTCTATTGGCAAACAATTTTGCTCTTTTCAGCAGGGCGATATTATTTGAAATCGTTTTACATTGCATTTCATTATGTTTATTCCATTTTAACTGGTCGTCAAGGATCATGCCTAGTGACTTTTTTTGGTAAACTCGCTTAATGTTGTTTCCCCCTAATGTTAGTACTGGGCTATTTTCAATTGAAGCTAAGCGACGTCTGGATCCTATTATCATAAATTCACTCTTTTTCATATTTAATGAGAGCTTGTTAGCTGTCAACCACCTATGAACATTTTCAATGTCTTTATTAGGTTTGATCTCAATTTCATATGGACTAAACCCTTCACAAGAAAGGCTTGTGTCATCAGCAAAAAGATTTGCTTTAGTTATCTCTAAACAGTTAGGAAGATCATTTATGTACAATAGGAATAAAATAGGCCCAAGGTTAGAGCCCTGAGGTATCCCGCATTTTATTTGTCTAACAGCTGACATCTTGCTATTCACAGAGCATATTTGGCTTCGATTAGAAACGTATGATTCGAACCATTTCAGGCTAGTTCCTTTAATACCATATAATTCAAGCTTTGATAAAAGAATATGATGGTCGACAGTATCAAAAGCTTTTTTAAGGACTAGAAATAAAACTCCGCTAAGTAAACCTCTGTCCATATTGAACAACCATTCATTTGTAGAACTAAGCAGTGCAGTTTCAGTAGAATGTTGATGACAGAAGCCAGACTGCTGTTCCACAAGAATGCCATTCAACCTCAAGAATGAACCTAGCTGCAGGTATACCAGTTTTTGGAAAAGTTTAGCTACAGCTGAAATAACAGATATTGGCCTATAATTTTCACAGTCTGCCTTATTTCCTTCTTTAAATATGGGGGTCACCTTTGCTAATTTCCAATCATTAGGGAAAATTGCTCTTTGAAGGGATACATTGAATATGTTCACTAGTGGTCCTGCCACAATGTTAGATGCATCTTTT